AGGAGACTGGGGTGGCTGTCTGGGACCTCGGAGAATCGGTGCGCGGGACCAATATGACCAGCGCGCCGATCATTGTCCGCCAACTGGATGAACTCTCCGAGTCCCTCAAGTCGCTCTCTCTGGAGCTGGCGCGCTTCTTCTCCGACGTTGAGGGGGACATTGACTCCATCTTGCTCGCCATGGATTGGGCCAAGCGTGAACTAGAGGCCTTATCGTCGCAACCGCCTAGTACGTTGCCGTCGGTCGTTTTCGATAACCTCCACGGAATCTTTGCGCGACTGGGGGCGTTGGAGCGACTTAGCGCCGCGAGTGGGGAAGGGTCCAGCACTGAACTGACCAGCACCCCAACCACCTTTGGCAACTTCGTCACCGCGGTCTTCGGCCAAACCTCTGCCCAGCGTACCCGCACAACCCTCACTCGGACCTTTACCGAAATGCTCTCCGTACTAGAAGAGGCGATCAACAACGAGCTGACGCACTCAACGGCGCTGTTCGCGCTCTTTGAAGCGATCGACCGCCAATTTCTGAATCTTCAACGGACTGTAGTCCGCGAGTCGGATGTACAAGAACGCGAAGAGGGCGAGATGCTGGAGTCGCTGTGGACTAGGCTTATGGGAGCCAATGCTGCTGCGATTCGCAAATACGAAAAGAACAAGCGGCTGCTCGCCAATGTCCGTAGTCGCACTGTCACTAACAAGCACCTATTGGTGGACCACCGCGGCCGTCTACTAACCCTCAAGGTCAATCTGGAAACCCTGCGGCGCAAACTTGTCAGTCCGCTAGTTCGACGCAACGACTCGATGAGCTTCACGGGCATCGAGTCCAGTAGTCGTAGCAACGGTCGCATGCTGGGTCATGTTGAGGCTGTGATTGACGGACAAATCCGAGGACTCGAAGGCAGCTATGATTACCTCAAATCTGTGCGTGACAAACAGAAAGCCAAGACTCTGGAGTTTTACTACGGGTTCGGGCGGCGCTTGCCGCAGAACCCAGTATTAGCCGACGGGTCGGACGATCTGGGGACGGACGCGATTGACGGGGTGTGATGCAACAGAGTCGAGAGATCTTGCATGCATAGGCAGGCGTTCCTTGTCTTTCTGCTCCTTCTTTTGTCTCTGTACCTGCATCACGTGGACATGGCGTTGTCGATCTGATCCATTCGGAAACATTCGGTCTTGTGTGCTGTGCACATGGTGGGCGTTCATCTACAGGTCCCCTTTCTTCGGTTACTTACATCTCGCTTCTCTCTCCTCGCATCGCTCTGGCTAGCTGGCGTACACTGGCGTCCATTGCGCTACAGATTTTCATTGGTTCTGGCCAGCCCTATCTTCTGCCTTCTCTCACCTCACCTCGTCTCCACCTTCATCTCCCTCTACCTCAGTGACACGACTTCTAGGGCTTTTTCATGTTGTTTGGCATCATGTCCAAAAGCGGGAAGGGAAAAACATAGACAAGATTTGATTTGATTCATTGCAATCTACCTGCTGCAACCTCGCATCTCGTGACATGTCTTGTCTTTTGTTCCCCTCCATTTGCTGCCATCCATACACCCATTCCTTGTTTCTCATCTCTTCTCCCCTCTCATCCCCCGAAGTCAATAGGCTGGCCGGCCGGCTGGTGTGGTTGCCTGCTTACTTGCTTCATCATCATCATCATCATCTACTGTGGCGCACGTGGTCCTCGGTTTTCTCGCTTGGTTTCCCTCAATTCGGATTTCTCCTGTCAATAGTTGGTGGACGGAGTGTGCTCGGTTATGGGTACATGGTTGGTTGGTTGGTCATGGTATCTTTGATCGGTAGTACATGGTGTTGTAGTGTGGTTGCTTGTTATCTATCATCTATCGTATCTACCTGTCTTTTTCTTTGGATCTACTTTACTCCTTTTCCTACTACCTACTACTTTTTGTGTATCGATGGGATCTTACCATCGTATCATCATAGTATATATACGCGCTCACTATTGGCTGTTCCTCATTATTACTAGCATATAGATTCATGCAGCTTCGTCTGTAGGTATCAATGTGATTTTAGTAAGTAGTGATAATCTTGCTAGTATTGAGGTAACCACCACCCCGGCTCACTCCTGTAGACATCCCGATTTTTTAGCAACAGCCATTGAATACGTAGGTAAGAGCAAGATAGTAGTAATAGCCATAGCAATAGAGGAAAAGGAGATCTAATATCACAAGACTAACCTAGAATTGACTAGGTAGTTAGGAGCAAAGCATAGTTAAACTGATTGCAGTGCAGCAGGAAAAATCTGGACCCAATATAAAGAAACAAAGATGGGAAGTAAGAAATAAGTATGTGTTAATATAATATGTGAATTGAATCAAGCAAAGCAAGCAAGTAAGTAAGTAGGTGTTTCCTCGCGCCCGGCCGCAAATCAAGTAGAAATGTGAAACTCCCGCCGAACTCCATCCGGATGCTAACTAATAGATCGATCGAAGTGTGGTCTTGGTAGCAAGTAGTTATGGTAAGTAGGTTTTTTGGTTTCTTGGGTGACTTCATGCGAGTCTGCGTGATGGGTTGTGGGTGCCATAGTCGCTGTCACTGCTACGGTCATGGTCATGATCGTCACTGGTATGGTGAGCATGAGCATGAGCCTGAGCATGGGACTTGACTCGGTTTGTTTTCTTTTGTATTTCCCCATTCTTTTCATGGTGAATTTTGGAATGGGTGAATAAGACAGAAGCACAATTCTTCCCTCATCATGTGACGAAAGGTATGATTCCACCTTAGAATCCATATCCACCCCCATACGGCGTGACTCCATACGGCGTCGTAGCACTAGGACCCCATGCACTAGCGCCACCACCGTTCGCATACGCCGTGAAGCCACCGTCCATACCCTCCGGGGGCTCGTAGGCATCCGGACTGCGCACACCCATCATATCCTCGTCGTCGCCGCCCATGACGCCATTGCGGTCTGCGCCTTCGGTGCCTGATAACGAGGAGATCACGGAGGCGAGTTTCCGTTGCAACACTGTGATTCCTTGCTGGATGATCATGTCCGGCTCTAGGGTACCGATGCTCTCTACGTCAATGTAGAAGCTGTTGGGCTGGGCGTCGTAGTCGAATGGTTGGTCTGGGGGAACGGGCTGTTCCCATCCTGCGTTGGCTGAGACAGGCCTGTATTGATGTCATTGTTAGCATCTGACCTTCGCTTGCTCATGTAAAACAACATCCTCTGCAGTAGGCGATAAAGAAAGGTGCTGGGGAACAAAGACTGAAGATGAAGGTTGGGATAAAACATACCATTCCTTCGCCGCATCCTCCTCATACCAGTAATCCACATGTCTCAAATTGTTATGCGGATCGTATTCAAACCCAATCGCCGACGTAGGCATCCACTTCGCATGTTCCTTCGCAATGCCCTTCTTCGCAATACACGTCATCTTCAACTCCTGGCCGCGTCTCAATTTACAAATCAAGGGTCCGTTTCCCTCAGGATCCAAAATCACTGGGTTTCCCACCCACTCGTTCGCCCGTTCTCCTGACACCACGAGATCGCGCGCATACACCCGCATGATATCGTCGCCTGTGCACCGCGCATGCAGCGATAGGGTTACAGAGCAGCGCGCGCAGTGGTCCTCGCATTCGCAGTCGCGCGTGTACTCGACATCTTGGTCGCAATTTTTGCTGATGAGGGGAATAAGGCCTAGACGGTGGGCGAGGAATTCGTCGGGCAGTACGGAGGTGTTCTTTTCCACTTCAACGAGATCGATGGCCATCGTGGGGATTTCGGCGAGCATTACTCGGCGGAGGGAGTTGGCGAAGGCGAGGTCGACGGAGGTGAGTTTGAAGTCAACGCGGGTGGGTTCAGCCTGACAAATTTATGAGTGTTAGTAGGGATGGCTGGACAGGTTGGATGGGGTGGTTGTGTCGTATGGGCTGGTGTTGGTATAGATGGTGGATAGGCGGATTGGTAAGAGGTGAACTCACTTCGCGGACGGTGACTTGGGGCCCGGTGGGCTCAATATCCATCTCGTAGTCCATGGTGGTTGCGGTTAGTAGCGCAGAGGCGCTACCTATCGAGTGGAGGGATGGTTGTGGTGGTGAAAGATGGAGCAGCGAGGAGAGGACTGATGCTGGAGGGAATGATGAATGGCGAAGGAGCTGAGGTCAAGTTCGTCGCCGACCTGCAGCCCGCGCTTTGCCTGTTTGGGTAATGCGTCTGCTGCGGCGTTTGCCGCAGATCAAAATTCTGAGGTCAGTTCAAACTTCAAAGACTAAAGAGCAACAATGTATATTAAATTTAGTGTTAATTATATATGGGCTTAACTGTCTTCAGATCTACAGGTCTACGATCTCTACAGGCTTACTTTAAGTTACACACTGAGCAGACAGCCAGCCCCTATGGTCTTCTGTTGCCTCGCAAAATGAGGAGTATGCTTGCTTTCTTCCTTTGCAGGTCAGATTCCTAGCTTGCATGAGCAAAAGGCAGTTCATCCCCAGCACCAACGGAGGCACCTGTCGACAGCTCTCGAGCCAGATTAGCTGGCGGGCCATAGTCAACCAGCAAGTCGTCGCAAGGGTATATCAAGTCGAAGAAGTATAAAAAAAAGAAAAAAAAGAAATGACCCTCTCCAAAAGCAGATGCCCGCTCCAACCGTAGGATGCGATCCCAAAGCATGCATGCTGACCCCATCAACTTTTGCTCCATCCGTCGGCTGTACCGCCGCCAGACCGTACTCCTCTAACATTCTATGCTGACGCTCCGTCATGGATTCTATAGTGGTAAGTGCGCCTCATGCGCGAAAGCCGTCGGGCTGCCCAAATAGCCCGAAGAAGAGAATTAAAACCAAAAGCAGTATAGCCAACCAGAGGTAGAAACCCAGGCAAATGAATCGAAGCAAGAAGGTAAAATCGAGAGTAGCTTTTCTTTTCGGTTTCAAGATTCATGTCAAGTCGTCATGGAGCTCTAGCCCACAGGCAAGTCTCCATCATTTCAACTTCCCCCGCCCTTTAGAACGAGGGAAGAGAAATGATACGCCATCGCTACCTCCGCAGGGAGCTGCGATTTAGCGCTTCCAGAAGCTCGGGACGACTGGCAAGCGATTCGGCCGCTTGCGCATAGGTGACCCATTGACGCTTCCGCTTGTGCATCTCGGGCCACTGGTCCTCTTCCCGGTCCACTGTGACCTCGAAGAACTGGTATGATGCTTTCGGTGCCGAGGACGTTAATAACGTCGACGGGCGCATGTCCGGGATCAATCCCAGGTCTTTGTGCACCGTACATATTATTCCACCCTCTTCCCAGGCTTCTCTACAGGCAGCTTGTTGGGCGCTTACTTCATCGGTCTCCCAACCGCCTTTAGGAAGCACCCAACCGCCTCGCCCCGCGGACTGAATCATGAGCACCTTCGTCTTGTCCGCGGACAATGGAACCACACCGGCCACGAGTCGTTCACCTTTCGGTCCGTACCCTATACACAACGCGAGTTAGCCACGTTGCGCGACAAATAGTATTGCGTCATATTGAGAGTTGCAGTACGTGCAGAAACCGGTGAAAACGGTATTGTAGAGTGAGTTCAGATGGCCAGAAGCCCGGGAATGTTACTCACGTTGGTTTTTGCGTCCCACACGGGACTCCATTGAGCGAGGATGATCCGCCATTTTGAACATTGGAAATCAAGATAACGAAAAAAAGAATAGAAAATAAAAGAATAAGAAAACACCAGAGAAAAGTCTATAACGCGGTCTATATAGCAAGAATTCAATAACCAGTGCGACACAGCCAAGCTGTGCTTCACGCGACACAGGTATGAAAGGAATGGAGAGATTCAAGGTTGAGGGAAAAGGTCAATGACACCGAATCCAAGACAAGATCGGTGTGACGACACTGTCGGTGCTAAAGGAGGCGTAAAATGTCCAACGACGGAAATTTGAGACAAGAAGAAGGCCCGGCCTTGTGGATGAGGAGCTGGCCGGTGAACCGTGAGTTCCTGTCTTGTTCCCGAAGCGAAAATGGGCCAGGCGGTCGAAGTAGGCCAGGAAATTTTGGGGGGAGGGTAAAAAAAACGATTTAAGACTGGAGGGAAGTTTTAGGAACTAGGTATCCCCGTTCACTCCCGCGGCGGACGGGAACCTGGAAGGAGAGGTGTGAAGGTAAAAGAACATCATAATCGGAGGGATACCAGGAAAAATAAGGGAACGGATAGGGAGGAAGAGAGGGACGGAGGGAGGGGGGGGGAGAGGCGAGAGGACGGAGGGGGGGGAAATCAGAGACAGCTTTGGGGATAGTAATGGGCGGCGCGATCCGGTCAGGAAGGTCGCTCGCTCTCTGTGTCTCTCTCTCGCCCGGAGCGGACTTTGCGCGCTCTTCTCTCTTCCTCGTCCATACTCTCTACTTTTCGCTGGACGGTACCGTCTGGGTACAACCCCAATACTGTATCGCCGGTCTCCCCGTCCGTCTGTCCGGGCTGCTTTCCACTGCTTTTCCACTGCGTTCTCCCCTCAACCCGACGCGGTGGGTTCCCGTATTACTGGTTCCATACAGGTTCTTTCGGTTCTTCTGCTAGGTACCAGTTACCTTACTGGTACAGGTACCGCCGCTACTCAACTTACTTACTTTTGCCCCCCCAAGTCAGCCTATGCGACTTGCTCTTTTGAACGCTTACTATAATGTCATCATCCTAATCGCTGGGATCTTTTTTTCCGGTGGTACTATTGTTCGGTTCCAGGGGTCCTCTGCTTGCTCATACCCTCTCACCTAAACTGATCCTTTTCCCTTACCATTGTCAACTCTCTATGGTACTCTAAAGTAAAATTAGAAATCCCCAGTCATACGTAGCTTTGTGGAGTGTGTCCGAGGGCAATCCATGAACTAGACTACTTTGCACTATATGGGCCATCCCACCGGACATGCTGATACCTCCCAAGCGTAATTCTGGCGGTTCCTCTGGGTCGATTTGGCTCCTCTCTTCAGTGGTTCACGCGTCCGCGAGTCACAGACTAGGTCTGTTGCCCTCCCCATGAACTGCTCCTGAGTCTCCCGAAGGTCTGCGGACTCCTCGGAGGTTCCACAGCAAACCGGCTGGACCAAGGGAGCAGGAGTCCTCTTTTCCACACCCACACACACGCACACACAAAACGGGAATTAATTTTTGCTTGGGACAACAGCAGCCTAGAGGGTTACTGCAGCTTCCGTTGTCCCCTAACTCCCATCTCGGTCGAGTCGGTACTTACGGCTTTGCAAGTCCATCTCATCTCCCAGCAACCAAACGCTGTGCCCGCTCATCCATTTACACTCAAGGCCCTATGGCACTATCAGAATTAGGGCCCCAGACTAGTGGAACAGACAGTTTCCCTTCGTCTCATATTACTGCTACTATTAGCATGGACCAAATGAGCAAAATAATTTATCTTACTTTTTAGGTCATGTCTCCATCAGTCTAGTCTACTTTTTTATGTTTCTCCTTTCGAAGGAAGCAAACCGGGCCCTTGTGCACTCCGCCGTAAGCGCTGGTGTGTTCGAAATGAGGGATTCAGCGTAGATATTGTGGTTATGGTTATCGATAGAGGAACACTATAGTTAATCCATCGTCCTCTCACACCGGTCCCTGATGGCTTATTGCCAACCAACCCCTTTTTCCCTCGGGGTTTAAACACACCATTACTTAATATTTCCTCAATATGGCTATATTTAATATTATTCCTATTACTGCCCCTTTTTCTGATATAGCCTACATATTCATTTTGTCCGGTTCAAAACGAACACACGGTGAAGAACATGAGCAAAAACCGAAGACAACCCGGGATCGGTCCACCTCGTTTACCAACTCTGGATGCGGTACTCCGTGCGACGGGGAACCCTGTGCCTACTCCTTTCTGATGATTTGCTGTGTAATACTAAATCCGTCTACTCAATGTGGAACAGTCCGCGACTCGCTGGTTTCCCTCTCTCGGTTCCAATTATCCACCAGCCGATCTACGTATCTACTATGTGCTGGATACTTCATTCATCTGACTGGGTATATACTACTTTGTTAAGAGTAAGTAGTGGTAGCAGCATCATGCAGAGTAGAATATCTGCATGTAGCGCATCGATGTCTGCACCCCTTTCCAACGAATGATATCAGAATCAACTACCACATGCGACCCGGCAGTACCTTGCTACGTGTTGAGCTATTTCCGATGGGACGATTTTGGAGCTTCAAGCTGCATCGACAAGTGGTTATCGAATGATCCAGCTACGTTATACGTTTCATTCAACTCCTGATGAATTTTACCTTTTTTGATGTTATCTTTTTTTTTTTCTCTTCTTCTTCTAGTGTTGTCCCCTTCCTTCAATTTTCCCCGTACCTCCTGCGCGCAAGCTACGGATTGGATACCATATCATGCGACGGCATGCCCTGCATACATTAGGCGCCTCGGATCCTGGCGGGCTCATTGGAGGAGAGCACACCGATGTCACCGACCTCACCCAGTGAAGAGGAAGAGGGAAATAGCGACTAGGTACTAACACAGTAGAGAAGGGGGGAGAAAAGGTTGACTTTGGGAACGGATGCGGGGCAGCAGCAACCACTCGGCCGGTCACCAAATCCTCGAATGATCGGAAGGGTGACTTCTCTGAGTTTTCCTAATTGTTTCTACTATCTACATTCTGTGACCTCTTTATCGAACAAGGGATGATGCGGATGCGACAGCCCAACAATGAAGGCAAAAGGCATCCAGACCGACCTGCGCGTTCGTGATGATGTATGCGGGCCAGGGCCTACCTACATGGTACTTGCTTTACTCACACAACGTACCTTGCCCACCGCCGAGGAACCATGGAGGGGGGAAGGAAAGGTGTGTGGTCGATCAGAGCGTTGAAGTTGCTCGGACGATGCGGTGACTAACTGCAAAGGAATGGAACTACTGAGGTAACCTGCACAGGAAAGACTAATAGTGGCTCGAGAAACTTCCCGGTGGCGATTGGATCTGGACGCGACAACGCAGCAGCGATCTGTCGAGGTGCGGATCCTGAGATCCTAGCATCGAACAAGCCGTGATGATGCCGATGATGCTTGGACGTTGGGGGGGAGTTCCTGCACGTGATGTCATGGTCTGGGGGAGACTTTTTTTTGGGTGAGGGTTTTTGCCTCCTGGTCATCGCCGATGCTAGGAGAATTCTGATTTGGACGAATTTCCAGGATCGACCAGCAACACACTCACTTCCGTGTGCCACATTCCAGTAACTCTTAGCATCCACGACATGGCAAGATTTTGTCGCCAGAAGGTTGACACTTGGCCAATTTCCGCTTCGATCGAAGCAAGTTCAGGTACCGTCGGCTTTACATACCCTCCCCGTCGTATTGTAATGGAGGCTGTTCATACAAGGCCAGACCGTATGGTATTGAACCCTTTTCCGCCTCAAGGTTAAAAACCGAACCTGGCAGTTTCGACTCTTTACTAGATGCTCTGCCATGGGGCTTCTCCAGTCTAGTAGTATCTACCTAGTAGGCCACTGCCTCTGGTTGGAAATGGCAATGGCACCTACTATGAGAAGCTATGGCCAGCTAACCCGTAATGAAATCATCTTTTCTGGAGCCGTGCTTGCTCCGCATCTCCTTCATCTCCGAGGCACCGAGCAATTAGGTGGCAAAGAGAACAAGATCTGTGTAGATGTTACAAAGTACAAGGGACGAGCAATCAGGTTGAACCTGACTACGTACTTGACCAGGGGGTCAGCAGTTCTGACATGCGGCAGTGATCAGGCCAGCAGCCGCTCAGGTCTTTCTTCTAGAAGCATCATCACCTTCAACCTTGTTTCTACCTCCCGAAAGCAGTGACGGGGACAGCTTCCTCCAGGACTAACTGGGGAGTTCTATGATTATGCAGCGCCTACTGAAGCTGCCAGTGGGTATGAATTTTGATCTTTATCTTGTAAAGTCCGAGGTTCTTCCTGCTGTGTAGAACTCAGAGCTGAGCGTATTGGTATAAGTATACGTGAGATGGCCCTGCCTGGAGGAGGGAGGGTTGTGACGGTGTTGCCTTGGGCTCTCCATCCAGTATCTTCTTGTCCCGCATCAACTTGAAAACCAACAACATCAAGCCATCCATCCATCCATCCAACCCACTCCAACTACCTCAACACTCTCTCCGTATCCCTTGATCTCCATTCTCCTGAGACGGACAATTTACTCCCGCTGCGCCCCTTGTCCTGTCTCGCTTTGCTTTTTCTTTTTCTGCCGTTCCCGCCGTGAGCGCAGCCAGCTAATCCCTTCTCCATCGCACTACTTGCCCGCAACGACACGCCATGGAGCCCATCGTCGATGCCGAACAGGCGAGGAAGTTGTCGCTTTTCCGACCTCTTGGTAAGCAGCCAGTCAGATTAGCCTTTCATTCCCCGTGCCGGCATCATTGGCCCCAGTGATCCTGCTCCGTCACCGATTCTTTGGATCGGAAATCCTGTGCCCCTCTTGTCTTGTCTTTGATGTACTCTTTTTGGCTGCCCCTCATTCCCGGCCAAATTCCCCTCACTCTCAACTTTCCGGTCAAAAGCACCCCCGACACACACATAGTATCTATCCTCTTTGTCTTGGCCTCATCCATCTCACTAAAGCCCATCCTATCTCTGCACTGGGACGGATATCCTCCGATCAACTAATGAGCGTCGTCCTGAGACTGCTCCATCGTCATCACTATGGCTGCGCCAACATGCCCTAACTCAACTCTCTCTAGGTTACCAGCGCAACTCCTGTGGTTACTGCAAATCTGATAATGGAAGTGAGTCTCTCCGGACCCACCCTCAATCTCTCCTCTGCCGTAGTAGTCCATCGCGGAAATGTCGTCGTGCTGCCGGATGGGACCGCTGATGCACGTCTACTGCAGGTGCCTCCTACTACGCTAGTTCGGTTTCTGTACGCCCGGCGCATTATGAAGCTCTAGTCAACAGGGGCTGGCGAAGGTACGGCGGTTCGCCTTCGTAATGCGAGCCACATCCCACCCCCGTCTGGCTAGTCAGTAGCTAATCCAGGTCTAGGTCGGGGACACTGTACTACAAGCAGAACCTGCAACGATCATGCTGTCCTCATTATACGATGAGGTGTGTAATTGGTCCAATTCTTGTCCTTGACTAGCTTGCATTGACTTGTCTTCCAGGCTCGATGCCTCCGCCTTCACGCCTAGGAAAGACCAACGGAAGGCTATCAATCGTTGGAACAAATTCGTTCTAGGCCCGGAGTATATCCGTAGAGCGGCATACCTCTGCCCCAAGACACGGGAGTAAGTAGACCGTCTAATCTGGGGGAGGATGTGTGAGCTCACCAATGTTTAATCGTAGGGAGAAGAAGCGTCGCAAGTGCAACTTTGACCTTCTCGGTGCAGTTCACGAGGCCGAATACAGCAATGTGAAGCGGCCCATTGACCCCAAAACCAAGAGACCTTTGGAACCTGCTCATCGATTCGAGGTCAATCTGGAAGGCGACTCTATCTCTCAAGCCAAGTAGGTGTGCAGCTGCCTGTGTGTTCAACAGTTTATACTGACATCGTGCGAGATACGAACTTTTTCTCAAGTACCAGACCAAAGTCCACAAAGAGGATGCTTCCAAATGGGCAAACAAAGATTTCAAGCGCTTCCTTTGCTCGGGAATGACTCGATCTCCAGCAAATGCTGCCAAATCGGATGAAAAGAAGCTGGGCTCATGGCATCAATGCTACCGACTGGATGGCAAGCTCATCGCGGTGGCAGTCTTGGATCTGATGCCAAATGGTGTGAGCTCGGTCTATATCTTGTAAGTGTTTGACAGTAAAGAGCAAGAGAAACCACTAACAAGAGAAGCTATGACCCGGAATACGAGCAATGGGAGTTTGGGAAACTCAGCGCAATGCGGGAAATCGCTTTTGCGATTGAAGCGCAATACCAGTACTATTACATGGGTATGCTCGACACAGCCACCTCTTGTTTTTATCTTCTTACTTTCTTAACTAATTTGAATCGAAAACAGGCTACTACATCCACTCCTGCCAGAAGATGCGCTACAAGGGAACGTTCCGACCGCAGTACATCCTAGGTATGTTTCTCAGTGGACTATCAACCCATTACAATGAAAGTACCTAACACACATCTACAGACCCCGAAAGCCATACATGGGACCCTCTTGATGGAGAACTATCCAAGAAGCTCGACGAACGGCCCTACGTATCGCTCTCACGGGACCGACAAACCACAACCACAACCGGAGACAACAACACAGCAACACAAGAAGAAGCAGACGCCGAGATCAACGACGAAGAAGTCTCCCTCTTCGACCTCAACATGCCCGGTAACATGACTCTCGACGAGATCAAAGCGCTGGATCTGGATCACTGGCTTCTGCTGGTCCATGGCACTTTCGTGCATATGATTGTAAGCCCGCATTCTCATCCTATTTTCCATTCCCTGGCTGATTACTGACCAATAACCACAGGACCTCGTCGGATGGGAGAAAATGCCCATTGATAACCCGCAGTCAGTCAAAGGTATCATTGCCGAGTTGGCGGCCGTGCTGGGCCCGGAGGTCGTTAAGAACAGTGCTGTGGTGCTTTTTGACTGATAGGCAGGTAGTTTCCTTGCACGTGCCTGTTCATGGGGTGGAGATAGTATAGTACGTAGTTATTATCCAAGGGATAAAAGCAGATACTGCAGTAAATATGAAAGCCAACTTGACCTGCTTTGAGAGACTTGTATAGGTTGAAGTCAGTAGAAAAGTACTTATCCAGCATTACGCGGGAGTATATTTGCCTGATTATCAGCATAACAAATGAGTCTGCCTGATTATGAAGTAGAAAATTAGAGAATATCGGAATGACCTAATGAAGACTTTGAAGTAAGCTAGCTAGTATGTTCATGTAAGGAAGATTGATTCAAGTGGTTATCCAATTTTTAGGTATATTTGCATATCACTATATATAGCTGATCGGTCTGTATATTCAAGAATCGATCACAAGAAGGAGAGAGTAAAATAATCATGCTGAGAAACATGCTTCATAACCAACAAGTGCTGAACATATATGCACATAAGTCAAGACAATCTCCCCCATCCCATATCCAGACGCCATTCATGATCCAAAACATTTACTGCAAGTAAACAGAGAAACCCTGATGGCCAAGCGATGCATCCCAAAATCTCAAGTCTAGAATCAGAACAATCCAATCCCATGCACCACACGCGCCCAGTCACACCGAGGACTGTACATTAAAACGGAAGCGAAGAAAGATAATAAAGTAACGAAGGGCAAATTGGCAGTTCTTAAATACCCCCCATCAGCTCCACTGGGGGCCGCGACGTCTTGGGCGGCATCTTCTTGACCGACATCTCGATGGGGCTCATGTCCATATCGATATCCTCGTCTGGGGAAGCACTGGTGTCCTCGACCATGACAGCAGGCAAGTTGGGGCTACCTCCGTGATCCTCGGGGTGGTAGATGAGGGTGCTGCTGCGGCTGCGCGTCTGCGACAGGGCCACGGGCCAACTGCTCGTCCTCTTGTCCGAGGTCATGGACATCGGAGTACCCGGCTGTTGTTGTTGCTGTTGTTCGATAGACGACACCACCACTCCCGTCGCTGCTTCCTCAACACCGGACTGCTCCGTCTTCAACTTGGCCAAAGCCTGGGCGAGATCACTGGCGTGGACTTCCTTGTTCGGGGGATCTTCCTGGCGCATGACCCAGCCGTGGGGCGGGGAGGGGGGCGGTGAGATGAAGAAGAGCTTGTCAACTTGCGGGGCCTCCAGGAGTTTCGGGCGCGACTCAAGGTCGTCCATGATGGGAGTGGGTTCGCCGAAGTAGATCTTGGGGATGATGGGGCGGTTGAGCAGTGGTGCGCCAGTTAGGAGTTTGCGGATGCGGAGAGCGTCGGAGTCCGTGTGGAAAGAGCAGAGGATGCGGCGGAGGGAGGGGAGGGGGGAGAAGGAGTTGAGAGGAGCCAAAGACTCGAGATAGGCTTTGAGGTTGGCGAGAGAGTCGGGTTGGAAGAGGAGAATGTCGTTCAAGTCGGTTATGATGAGGGTGTTGGAGGGAGGTGTGGGTTGCGTGAGAGGGGGGAGGTTGGACATGTCGAGAGTGAGAGAGGGTCGAGAGGAGCGACGGGCTCCGAAAGAAGGAGAAGAGGTGAGAGAATGAGGTGGTGAAGCGGTGTTCATTGTGTGAATGTTGTTGTTACTTGTGTGATGATGATGGTTGATGGGTTATTTGTTTGTATGTGTGTCTTCAGATGAGAGAAGGAGGAGAGAGTTGGTGGTGGTGGAGTAGTATAAGTAGTAGTACTCAGTTGGTGGTGGTTGGAAGTGGAGGAGGCGATAGTAAAGATAAGCGGGAAGAACGTCAAATCTGGCAGGCGCGCTTATTCAAGGAGTCAACCACAACCACATAAAATCAACTTTATTCTTTGATTGATTGAGAGTGGTTCTTATTCAATTTGACGTTCTGAGAATGAACCGGAGAGGTGGTTTAAGAAGGAATTCTGCAGACGAAGCTGCTTGCATCTTATAGGCAGCGAGTGAAAAATCCGTCTTCGTCGACGGCGAGGCGCAGCCAAACGCCTTCGTGTCGCAGTGGAGATGCAAATCTGCTTCTTTTGCACTGCCTTCCACTCACTCTTCGGCTCTTGCCCATTTTCAGGCAATTTTGGCTCCGTTCCTGTCGATCTCCGCACGCAGTTCTCCTTCTTTCTTCGCTGCAATCTGCATAGCGCATTCGCCACACTCACTCTTCTCGTCCTTCGCCGTGTGGCTGAACTGCCGCTATTGCCACTAGATGCCCCCATTATTGGTGTCGTTTACAACTCATCCCCAACAATGACGATGATGCCATTCGCTGCTCTCGACTGTGGACCTCCTGATGATTAATTCAACTGTGGCTTGACTCTCTCTCTCTCTCCCCTTCTCTGCCTCCTTGTCGAGGCTATTGACTCCTCCTTGACTAGTACAGTACGCAGTAACCAGGGTCTCCCAATGTGATGCTCAATTCGCTAGTGTCCAATGACTCCATCGTCACCAGCCTCGGAATGCTTCACATGTCGTGGTCTCCACTGCCTGTGACGCATGACTGCCCCTAAGTTTCCACCCCCCTTGTCCTGAACCTTGAGTCTATCTATGTCTATGGTGTACAAAGTAGATACATCCCGGAGGATCCCGCATATCCATGGTTCCGGTTTCTCCGCAGACTCCATGATCCATCGGGTATGCAGCTCCGCCCCGACGGTGGAGAGCCGGCGATGAATGGCAGATCGCCGAATATACTACGCATACCTGTCCCCAGCAGCTGGCGCTTTCCCATGTTAGCTGCATTGCAACTCCAGGCAGGCAATATTCTATGTCTTGGCTCTGGCACAGCATACTCTTGACTGCATTGCATGTACTGGCTGGCCACGCATTCGGCTCCTATACCAAGCCTCCCTGTAAGTGATGCAGCTCGGCTGTCACCTATTGCCAAAGCCCCGGGCCTAGGACCCTGCAGTGTCGGATACCACCCAGAGTTTATTTGCAGCTTCTTTGCCTTGTCAAATCTCTGTCATGCTATGTCACATGTACGATGTCCCATGAGTCGTGGCCTTGCTCGTGCTACTTACTCCCCCTGGAACGGCCTTCGTGTCATTTAGCTTGGATGTCATATGTTGGCTTCCTGCGAGGCTCATAGTGCCTTGAGACCGTTGGATCTCTGCTCAGCTTATCTCATTTACAGTCTTAATCATCTTCTCCGGAGTCAATTTCTGTCTGCCTGGAAGTCTGTGGGTAACACTGCATGAACCGATCTAGCTAAGCCCTGAGCTCTGACCACATCCCGTTCTCTGGCATAGCCACTCACTGTCCCGGTGTCCCCGGCATGCAATGCAACCGCTCCCTAGAGACTAATCTGCAGCCATGTCGCACACTGCCATTCTGATGGCAATGATACATTGGCCAGCCGAACGTAGATGGCACTATGGCGGCTTTCACGGGCATGGCGCCTTGTATGTAGCCTCTAGCAAGGCTATTACTCCGCCAAATGTGCTGTTGCATGACCGTCCTTCCGCAGCTTCATACGATCACAACAAGGCTTCTTCTGAGCCCTCGACTGGCAGATGCACATGAACTCCTGATGAGATTGAGGCTAGGTAGATGAGCCGCGCTCTGCACTAATGTTGGCGGCTGCGCTTACAACAACGTAGGCAAACGCATTACACAGGTATATTCCAGCCAACATCACTGGTTGAATACGAACTATGGAGTTTGGGGGCCATCTGTAGAAGCTCCTAATTAATGCATCCCTTTTCATTGCTTTTGCTGTTTTTGTGGGATCATATCGGATCCATCCTTGGCGTTAGGGCGCAGTTACCGAGTGATCCTTCACCGACAGTCATTCAGACACATGATGATATTCATGTGCGCTGTCATGATGCTTGATCAAAGCCTCGATGTCTCCTGCTAGGCAATAGTGATGCAGAGTTCATCCGCGTCTACTGAGCTGGGTCCTTGTCGCTTTACAAATACTCTAATCACTTTCACACCGTCAAAGATAGTTCTCCGTCTAAATGGCAAGAAGTGCAGACGTTTTGTGCAAACAGCACTCGAGTCCTGAGGGGCCGCCCTTGAGAGTGGCACAATCGATCTTTCGTGCCATTGGAGACAACTATCATGCCATTCGATGGGAGTCTTTTCGGCCTACACCCAGCCAAAATAACCCCCTGAAAGGAATCGTTCCCTGTAAGCCTTAAGTAGTGATGTCCGTACCAGAAGCCGTATGTGCTAATAGCAAAATGGTCGTCTTGGTCATGGAAGGGGAGTCACCAGATCACTGGCGCACATGACAATCGCCATCAATGTATGGCTTAGACATCAATAATCTCGTCTCGGCACTTCTATAGCCATGGCACACTACTGGAAGAAGCCAATAGTCCAACAAAGGCCTTCAATGAACCATGTTTCTCCTTTAAAGCACAGATTGTTCACCGGTGGTGACCGACTTCGCATATTGATTGTTTCGGCAGTATACTCACCGCCATGATTGCCGCTTTTATACACGGAAGAAAGCATACTATGTTCCATGCGCCATAGTCGACACAGATAGAAATCATGCATATAGACAGCAGCTTAATACTTATGGTAGGTAGACAGATAGGCTTGAGGCAGATGAGAATTGTATTGAATGTCAGCTAGAGCCTTGCAATGCTTAGTTAAAGACAGCACGCGATCATCCGGCCCGAGGTTTCTCCCGGTGAAGGCGGTCAGATCAAGCCGCCGAAAGTTCTGCTTTCCAACGATATCGCCGATTTTGTTCAACCTCTCACGCCTCCAATCTTCATCATACTCTGTTATTCACAGTCACCATATTTCACTTCCTCTTCTTCCAAAATGTTCCAGAGAACCTTCCTCAGACAGGCCCAGCGGTCCCTCCGCTCTGTGCGCCCTACCTCCATCAACACCTCCGCTCTCCGTCGCACGCCGCAGCTCCCCCAGGCTGTCCGCCCAATTGCTCCTCAGTCGGCCTACCGGTTCTACTCTACTGAGAACAAGGCCGAGAATGGCGAGAAGAAGGAGGGTGAATCTGCCCAGGAGGCTGAGGATCCCGTCCGCAAGGAGCTTGAAGAGAAGAAGAAGGAGGTCGTTGAGCTGAAGGTAAAGCTCCCCTCTCAACACGAGCGCCCGGCTCAATTTTTGCTACGCCTTCCACAGTCGTAAATGGTACCTTGCAGATCTCTAACTCTTTCATTAGGACAAGCTGCTCCGCTCGAAGGCCGACTTCCTCAACCTGCAGGAGCGCACCAAGCGTGACATGGAGAACTCTCGCAACTTCGCTATCCAGCGCTTTGCTGGCGACCTCCTCGAGTCCATTGACAACTTTGACCGCGCCCTCCTTGCTGTTCCCAAGGACAAGCTCGATGCTCCCCAGACTGAGGCCAACAAGGACCTGTTGGAGCTCGTTTCCGGTCTGAAGATGACTCAGAACATCCTTCTGAACACCCTGAAGAAGCACGGTCTTGAGCGCTTTGACCCCAGCGAGCCCACTGAGGATGGCAAGACCCAGAAGTTCGACCCCAACCTCCACGAGGCTACTTTCATGGCCAAGGTTGAGGGCAAGGAGGATGGTGACATCATGTACACCCAGAGCACCGGTTTCCGCCTCAACGGGCGCGTTCTTCGCGTAAGTGATTATTCTTTGGCATGTATACGTGGTCAATCATGCTAACTTGTTTACTATAGGCTGCCAAGGTCGGTGTCGTCAAGAACTAGACGCCTCGCCAACACTCTTAACCATTATCTCTCCCTTTCCGCCTCCCTGTCTTTATCTTCTTGTTGTATAATATACCAAATACGTCTTCGCTATGATGGGGATCGACTTATGTTAATCCGACAGGCTGGAACATCTGGAATTGTTCCAGGTCTCTGTTGCTTTGTCCATGAACGCATGTGTGTATGATACACCTTACCTGTGTTGTGTGGTCTTGGTGCTTTTATATCTTTTCTGTTACTTGGCGTTGTTTCTGAACTCTCTCCTCCCTATTTTGTATATTATATCCCTGGCTGGTGTCTTTGTTCCTTTACTTCTCTCATGGAAAAAGTGGGATTGTGTTGTTGGGATTGGCATTGGCACGGATGTGGATGACATTTGCATGGCATTGGATCATGTTGATTTTTATTGCATCACTTTGCTTGCCTGGTAGGCAATGCAAGGTGTTTTGATCTAAACGACTAATAGAAAGTCTCTTGATCAAGACTATTGATGAATTTACAGTGTGCTTCTCAGTAACAACCAGCGTAAGGCATGTTTCTTCGGCCTAATGATCCGCGGAGTTCTCGTGCAATTAACAATTAATAATGACTCAAATACTTCAGAAACATCTATCAAGAATATCCTATTTTCCTGCCATATCCTCGTAGTTGAAATGGTGAGTTGCAATTGCGCATATCCCTCGGTGGCTCATTTTCCCGGCCCGATGTGTTTTGTAGACTCGGAGCTCTCAAACGCCGCAACCAGCAGTTGACTGCCCTCGGCGTCAGTCATTGATTAACTCACACAGCACTCCGAGATGCGTCTCTTTGCCACTGGGAGGGCCCTGCGCGCAAGCAGTGCCCGGTGGGCAATTGCTCCCTCACGTCGGAGCGTACGCATCCCACTCTCGCAGTTCTCGGAGCCCTTTGCCGTGAAGCGGAGAGATTGGAGT